TGAGGAGGAGGAGGACGAAGAAAGGAAGAAGACAAAAAGAGGGAAGCAGCAAGGGAAGGTTTGTTTTGTTTTGGAAGGTGGAAACCTGAACATGTATACATGCTGAGAAAAAGGACTACATGGGCAAARACCAAAGATGTCAGCCTTGAAGAAAAAAGAACAGAAATGAGATGAGTACAGGTACTGACAGATCCTTGAGAGGCCAGACCAATGCCCACTATCTCTTCCATGAAGCAGAAGGTCAAACAAGCAGTAAGAAAGCAAGGGTGAGAGAAGAGTAGCAATGCAGGCTTTAGTACATCAGAGGGACCCAAGAGGTGATTCAAAGGATCTCCAGTGCAAGTGAAGTTGGATTGGGAAGTTTAGTACGGCACCTAGAGCACTGTTACATGATTTTCTCCAGTCTACCCTGGAGCCCAGAAGCAGGAAAAGTTGATTCAGGCTTGACACCATCACAGCAAATGTGGTGAGAACAGCACAAGGCCCAAAACAATGCTTTGATAATTTTAAAGTCAAATTTATTTTGCTCTTTTGAAAAACTGTTATTCTCGGACAGACAGTATTGCGAAAGTAGGAGAGAGACACGTGGAAGGTTCCTCTTAACCCTTACAGAACTTGTGACAACTTTCACTCTTAAGCCTATCTGATCCCTTCAGCAGCTGATTCCAAGCCTGAGTTCATCTGGCTTTTTTAWATTTGTTTCAATTGTTATACATGACAGTAGAATGCATTTTGACACTTCATACATAAATTGAGTATAACTTCTCATTCATCTGGTTGTTCATCTAGTTACATAGGTCATGTAATCATACATGCACACAGAGTACTGATGTCTGATTCATTTTACTACCATTCCTCCTCTGGCTTTTAAAGGGTGAAAATTCACTGCAGCTCCCTGAATTAGCCAACTAATAAATAAACAAGTCAACAGGATTACAGAAAAATACTGCTTCAGCCAGGAGGTAGGGGCTCTTTCTTCCCTAAAACAAAGGTTTGCTAAACTGTTTAGATGAGGGGGGGAGGATGTGATTATATCACAAAGCTCCCTGAACAGCAATCTAAGAATTTTTTACAAAGGCAATTAACATAAAACAATATAAGCCACAAARATAGCAGAACTGAGTTTGTTTTGAATAAATGCAATATGTAGTTGACAGTGAAACCCCTTCATTCATCCTTCCATCTCCCATACCTCTCTTATGGTAGAAGAGTCAAAAATCCCTCTGGTTACTGGATTTCTGGCACCATCCGGAGAGCACAAAAAGGCCTAGAAAGAGGCAGAGGCTGATGGTGTGAACATTCATCGTGTGCCAAACTTACTGTGTGGCAGGCCCAGAGCTGGGCACCTTACATATTCTAGGTGCAGGTAATTTAATGACGAACTGCCTGCTGAGTCTATGGATCTGGCATGCTGAGAAGAGTAGGAAAGTGACCCAAGATTTAAGTGGAAAGGAAGGAAGAAGTTAGAAACGTGGATGATAAGTTGGAAAAGGAAGACATCTGGGAGCCAAAAGGCAAGACCCAGGGGCACCTTGTGGGGGACCGGCAACTGAAATGCACCCCCACACACACTAGGTCGTGGGGAGACTGAAATGCAAAGGTGTAAGATAAAAAGGCTAGGCATGGAGTGGGAGCCACTGAAACACGAAGGGGACAGAAGGCACACATGAAGGCTAGGGATGGGGCCCTGGGTGAGGACGGCTGAAACGCAGGGGCAGGCAGGAAGGCTAGGATGGGGCGTGTGAAACGCTCGGGGAGCACAGAGAGCAGGCGGGAAGTCTAGGGAAGAGGCTGACTCAAATGCAAAGGGAGCTAGGTGCTGGGATGACCGAAAGGCAGAAGGAGCTTTGCGGGAAGGCTAGGGTGGGGGTGGGACGACTGAAATGCAAGGGGGCGCGGCAGGAAGGCCGGGACGGACGGGAGCAGGGCGGCGGCAGCGAAGCCCGGCGAGGGGCGTGCAAACGCGGCTCCCTGCCGGGCGCGGACGCGAGAAGCCCCGAAGGGATGCGGGGCTGGGACGCCGCGGTGCTTGGGGAGGGCAGGGGAAGAGAAGGAGGGGAAAAGGGCAGGCAGGGAGGGCAGCGCAGGGCAGCTCAGGGCAGCGCAGGTCGCGGCAGGCCGGGGCAGGCCGGGGCGCCGCAGGCGGCGGCGGCGGGCGGCAGCAGCAGCCCCCTTACCTGCGACCAGCGAGGAGCCGCCGCGCCGCCGCGCCGGCATGCTGAGCCCAGACACCTCCCCCACCGCCTTAGGTGGGCGCCATCGCGTGGGCCTGGGAGCCCGCCCTCGCCGCCGAGCGCCGCCGCCGCCGCCGCCGCCGCCGCCAGCCCGGGCCGGCCCCGGGAGACGCGCCGACGCGACCCGCACCGCGGCCGCCTCAGCAGCGACTCCCGAGGTCGTCGCCCCAGCGCGCGCCGGGAGGCAGCGGCCTCTCACGCGCGCCGCGATTGGCTGCCGGGGGCCCGGCCGCGCTCCGTGTGGGCCTCTCTGATTCGCTGGTTCTGGAGGACCACCTTCGGAGGCGGGGCTTGGGTCAGAACGCCAAGGGGCGGGGGTCCCACGTCCTGCGCGTGCGCACCCTAGGGCCACKGCCGCCACCTGCCAGCGGCCTGTCACCCGATAGGCAGCACGCGTGGCCAACCGCAGGGCAGTAACCCTGCTCGCCCACGTGCAGGCCCGAATGTCCCCGGCTGCAGGACGCGGGACGGAACTAGAGGTACTCCGCACCTCCTCCGCCCACAGCTCCCGCAAGCGTCAGATTCGCCGCGTTCCACTCCCACAGACTGTCAATGAGTAACGTCTGTCCCGACCACCGAGTGGGRAAGAGGAAAAAGGCGAAGAGAAGGGAGGGGTTGAGGAGAGGGTCCAGGTTTCACCGCGCAAAGTCAGTCATCGACGGTGGCGGCTCCTTTGCACGCCCATGGCAGGTCCTGGCGTAGCGACTGTTTCAGCTCTGCCCAGGTGGATTGCAGAATGCTGGGCTCAGGAGYCAACAGCCTATCCAGAATTCTGCCCTACCATCTCGGAATCAGGTTTTGAAATCTTAAAGAGCTGCTGTAATGATCAGGAAGCCCACAGTAAAACTTGTACACTAAGTTCACAGCAGCGTCAATCGTGTAGCCAAAATAAAAGATAAAAATGACCCAGATATCCATCAATTGACCAGTGGGTAGACAAAATGGGGTCCAGTCATACAATGGAATAGTATCAGCCATAAAAATATATGAATAGCTGATACATGCTACAAAACAGATGAATCTTGAACACATTGGGACTGGGCACAGCTGGTCCCAAAGGATCACGTGTTACATGATTCCATTTATATGGCTTACTGGATGCCTTGGGTGGAAGGGATTGGAAGAAGATGTAGGACCAGGACCACTAATGTATTGGGTTTCTTTTGGAATCAATGAAAATATTCTAAAATGTGGTGATGGCGGTACAATTTGTGAATATACTAAAAGTCACTGAATTGTTGGCTTTAAATAGATAAATGATTTGTATGTAAAGTATAGCTTAAAAAGCTGCAATTTTTAGGGCTGGGGTTGTAGTTCAATGGTAGAGCACTTGCCTAGCATGGGTAAGGCATTGGGTTAGATCCTCAGCATCATATAAAAATAAATAAATAAATGTATTAAAAATTCAATAACAATATAAAAAGCTGYAATTTTTAAAGAAAAATAGAATGAAATGGCAAATCTCAAAAAGCTCCTGTCTATAGAGCCTCCCTAAGATACAGGGCTTGTGTACCTAACCTTTTTTCCTTAGTTCAATTTGCAAAGTCTTGTAAGCAATTTGACCTGAGGAAACTTAAAAGAAATACCCACCCTGATATTTTTCTTTGGAAAATTAAAATGAAATGAAGACGATGATCTTATTCCATTCGAGTTGGGTAGAGCCTGCTTCTTCCAAACAGCGTCCACAGCCCCTGCAGTCCCAAGGACAGGGAGGAAATGCGCAAGTCTCACTGCCATCCCAGCAAGAGCTTGGAAGCCTCCCCTCTGGGCTAGCCTCTACACCTAGTGCCTCAGGGCCTCATCTCCAGGGAGGAAGTCCTGTGGGGCTAGGCRAGCACTCCTCACTACAGCAGTACACCCGCTGGAAGGACAGTGTGCGGCATACCTAGGAATGCACAGGCTTTAAGAGGACTGCAGTGGCAGTGGCACATTTGGTCTGGGGCTTGTTGGCCTTGCTCTGCTTTGGGGAAAGTTGACAATAGAGCAGACCTCCCTGTATGGCATTCACATTCCAGGGCCTGCCATGGTGAGGGGACAGAAGTAGGGGCACAGGGGCTCAGATTTGGGGATCTGAGGAAGAGAACCATGCCTGGTCCTCCTTTCTGCTTTCCTTTTTCCCTTTTTTGCAGACGYGGTGATCAAACCCAGGTCCTCATGCATGCTGAACAGGTGCTCTAGCCCTGGGCTTTAACCCCAGCCCAAGGCCCTCCTCCCTTATCTCCTATCTCAGCCCAAAGGAGCTGGAAGTAAGAAGGCAGGGGCAAAGGACTTGGAAACAGAAAAAGGAGAGGACGGATTGCCTTTGTGATGCAGCTGCAGGAGCAGAGCAGAGCTGTTTCCCAAGGTGCAGACATGGCCCTGGGAAACTGGAGATGTGGGACAACAGGGATTTCCAAGGGGAAGAACAGAAGTCATTACAACCGCAGATGGTTACCTGTCCAGCCCCCCATCCGGGCCTGGCATGGGTGGACAGGTGGATGGAAGAGTCGTGAGAGAGCTCAGAGCTGCAGGTGTCTGTGAAGGCCACCAGGGCAAAGCAGAAAGGTTCACAGGGAAGAGAACAGAGGGTACTTGGGTCACTCAGGGTCCTGTCAGGAAGGGCAGGGGACACTGGGTGAGGGCATCAGAGTCAGGGTCCTTGACAGGGAGTTGAGGGTTAAACTTTCACYGGAATTAAAGTGACCCAAAATGCCAGGCTAATTTGGGATAAGATGAAACACTTACCTGCAGACGGTATCAAAGAATCAAGGCACTTCAGAAGACACCTCACCAATCTCTTGAAGCTCRTGGGATAGAGGAATTTGAGACAAAAATAAAAAGGTGATATAATTTAAAGGAAAGGGGGAAAAATGAGCATGTCTCCTCACTTTCTCCACCCCTAGGTCTCAGAAAACTGGCCAGGTCAGGCCCCTCAGCCACATCATCATTTTAAAACGAAAACCCAGCCCAGCCTATTAGCAGGCATTTTCCAAATGGCTACAAAATTCCTGCACCTTCCAAAAATACCTCTTCATGCAACTCCTGCCAGAAAGGGAGGTTGTATACTCAGGCTGCACMGACCAGTTGGACTTCCTGACCCCAGGAGCTGCCACCACACACTCTGCAGACCCCRGCACAGGAGGCTCCACTGTTCCCAAGTAGATCCTGCCAGCTGGGAGCAAAGCACCTCAGTTTTGYTTCTGATGGAGACGGAGACTTCCAAGAGAGGCTGCCAACTCCAGCTGTGTGTACCAACTACCCAGACAGCTTGGTCAGGTAGACAGTGCCAGGCTTCTGCTSTGTGCATGAAGCAGGAGAGTGACAGAGAGGCAGCAACTGGGGCTGCAGAGAAGCTTGTGATATTCTATTTGTTCAATTTATATTCATCAAGCTCTGTTACACTTCAATTAAAAAAAAAAGGCTCCCAGATAAACTCTGCTTCCCATCAGACTTTAGAACTGCTGACTTGGGGTGCAAGATGAAGGGCTTATCTCACCCTCAAGAGAGAGGCTGGTGCCATGAAGGTGGGCTGGTGTAGCCCTGGGGTCTGTCTCCCTACTTGTAGTCAAGTCTCTAACCCTCAGGAGACAGAATCTCCAGGGTGGAGAGCAGGAGGGACATCAGGTAGCAGCCCATCAGCCCTTCTCTGCCCTAGATGCCAACCAGTGACACCAGGGCAGCCCCAGCTCCGCCCTCACAGGTTGCAAGTTGGCTATCTCCACCCTGAGCCACCCTTAGAGTCGATGGTTGCCCTGGAAGAGAGCACTCAATGAAAGCTATTGTTCACAGTTACGCTTCGCTTTGCTACAGGGAAAGGATACAGATGGAAATCGACYGGGGATGCAGCTCCGTGGTACAGTGTTTACCTAGCATGTGTGAGGCCCTGGGTTTGATTCCCAACACTGCATTAAAAATAATAATAATATGCCAGGCGCGGTGATGCATGCCTAGAATCCCAACGGCTCAGGAGTTGAGAGTTCAATCCTCCTGCCTCAGCYAGCCTCAGCAACAGCAAGGCACTAAGCAACTCAGTGAGACCCTATCTCTAAATAAAATACAAAATTGGGCTGCGATGTGGCTCAGTTCAATCCTTGGTGCCCCCCACCACCAAAAAAAAAAGAAATCTGTTATTTAGCTGGGCCAACTTATGGAGACCCTGTCTAAAAATTTTTAAAAAATAATAAAGGATTAGGGATATAGCTCATTGGTAAAGGACCCTGGGTTCAATCCCCAGTTTAAAAAAATTAATTCACTTTGGTATATATCTCCGTAATCTATACACAAAAAGCCCTATCATTTTTAAAAACCCTAAATTAAACAGAAAACAATAAAAATACAATTAACTCCAGTACATCTATTCTTCACCAAGCATCCAGCTGTTGGATTAACAGTTACTGACATTTGCCACATTTGCTCAACATTGATAAGTAGGTAGACAGAYAGACCTCATTATTGTTACCATTTTGAGCCATTTGAGGTTGCAGACACTGTATTGAATCTCCTCCACAATAGCATTCTTCACCTAAAGATGCGCATATTTTCCTACCCAATGATCAAATGAAGGAGAATTAACATGGATTGATATTATCTTCTAATACATGGTGCCTGCTCAGACTTCCCTGACTGTCCCAACATATCCTTTATAGCAGTGTTTCCCTTCCAGTGCACCTGGCTGCCATGTGACTTTGGTGTCTTTAATCTGGACCACTTMCTCACTAGCTCCTCTGCAAGCACACTAGTTACTTGCTGCAGAAACGATGCCACACTTCTCAGTGCCCTGTGTTAGGAGGGACACGGATTAGTTTGTCTCATTATTGGGTTCTTTCCTTTGTAATTTGAATCTGTGGAGATACCCTGTTGCCTGTCTGGTGATGAGTCCCGCCAGGCCCTGTTGTACTTGCCAGTCACTCAAGGAAAGTGGAGCTGGCCAGCACCCAGGCTATGAGAGGCCGCAGACTGCCCAGCCAGGCTGGGCAGGGAAGAAAGAGCAACAGGACAGAAATCTGCATCAGGCAGGGCAGRCAGTTCAAAGGCCAGGCTGAGCTGGGCTTCCTGAGGGGTGGGTATAAGGCACCCCACTCCAGGCCCC